TTCCAAGTTGTTAAGAGTTTAAACAACGTAGTTACAGTTACGAAATTTTCTATAGCATATACGCATCAATAATGTTCAACTGAATATGAATCACAGCAGTTAAAAGTCATAAATGCTAAGCAATTTTAGCAGATTCAAATAACTTTGGAGTATCTAAAAATTCTAAAATACATTCATCAAGAGCCATAATGAAAAGCTGCAACAACTCACTTCTTTAAGTAAAAGTGTCTTGTTTTATGACACTGGAGTTTACAACCACTTTATAAAGTTTTAAATAGCTCATCACAGACATATCATGAAATAATCCATTTTTATTTATGTGTAGTTAAAGCTGCGGATGAAAATTTGATATGAATACATTTAGCTATCAACCGAGTCATCCTCAAGCATGTTACGGTTTAAAAAACTATTTTACTCGAATCAGTTAAATTATGACGCAAAACAATCCAAAATAGATTCAAATTACCATTATTTGGGGGCTATAGATATAAGCCTACGAATTCACCTACAAGTATCTTAAATTCGGCGGAAAACTCACAAAAAGTAAACAAACTTTTCCATGTAAAAGTAAAATTTACGAAAGCAATGTTAGTAGTGACAATGATGTGAAATATTTCAAACAAAACAAAGACGGTGCTACTAATTTTAGAAGCCTTAATTAACAACTATATGGTGAAAATGAGCAAGTTTCATCTTTATTTTCATCAGAACTTCGATCAGACAACTGTGTAGCACTTTAATTTCGTAATTTAGACTAAAATATCAGTGAAAAAGGATGAAGAGAAATTTTAATGTCGCAGGTACAGTCGATAGTTAAAGGCGTGCCTTCAAATAAAATCAAATAGAAATAGTTCGCTATATCTGGACGAGAATAAATAAAGGGTAACCGTTAGGAATTATTTATGAACTAATATTACGCGTATATTCTTATTGCATAGCTATAAAGTAGCTACATTATATGGACATTCACCTTCCTTTTATTCTAAGCTTTTATTTGATCTATTGATTATTATCATAAGACTTACTATTCTTAAGATGTTCCCAGTTTATAAGTAACAGTCTTTCACAATCACAGCCACTTTTGGGCTTGATCTTGTATCATCGTTATTTTCTATTTATGCTGTCTGGTTTGTTTGTAAATAAACCCAGTATGTCTGAAATATATGATTCGTATCACAGAGGCTGATATTGGCATTCTGGACTAAATCGGCTGGGTTAGAAGTTATTATCTCGGTGGACCAAGAACTATAGGCTGCTATTACAGGTTTATGCGTTATTAGTCTGGCCGTACAACTTGGTGTCTAATTGGCGGTCGTATTACGTGATATAATAATTCGCGCATAAGGACATTACACATTTATAGTGTTGTTAAAGTTGCAAGAGTAGAAGACGCTCGTCTTGTAATCTTTTATTGTCATAGCAGAAAGATGGGTTATAAACAAATTCAAGTGAATATCATCATGTCTGGTAAGACTCATAACATTAAAGAGTTTGAGCTTAAATTAACCTCCCTTTTGCACTCGATTACTGCCAACTCTGTATCTGTTGACAAATCTGCTAATTTATTTAAGAAAAAATTTTACCGATCTATTAATATTTCAGATTTATACAAGTTCCAGGACATAATCGAAGTAAACGAATAAAATGACATACTTGTATTAATTAATAGAAGGATTCGAAACATTAGGGAACCAAATGTGAAATGACCTTTCTAAATGCAAAATAAAACTCTTTTGTTACTATATGTCTATCATCTTTAGTGTCTGAGGTTGGGTTAGGGGTCCGCATCTCGGGGAGACGGGAAGCTCCAGATTCTGTTTTAAAAATTTGACCACTTACGGTCATATATATATATATATATATATATATATATATATATATATATATATTCATCTTATTATATGCTTCCTTTTGACATATGGATTATTATTATACGATTGACTGTCCCTAAATTATATTCAGTTTGTTGATTACTGTCTCCCATTTGGCTTGATCTTGTACAAATATTATTTCCTATTTTATGGTGTGGTCTGTCTATCTGGTATATAAACCGAGTATGCATGAAATAAATGACTTTATAAAAAATAGGCCGTATTTATTTCGTTAGTTAAACAATAAGAATTGATGTAGAATAATAGTCCATTAATAGGTCCTGGGAGTTACTCGTACATATGTCTTCACCAGGATATAACAATTCGCATAATAGAATCTGTAATTGGTGTTTTGTTGGACCGAATTGGATGGGCTAGGCGGACAAGGGACCAATGAGGGCGCTAGACTGTTCATACCGGTCGAAGTCATTGTTTTGGCATAGTGCTAAGACTGAAAAAGTCGTATTCCGATTGGTGGATAAACCACGTGATAAAAAGCTGGACACAAAGTCACAACAAATTGGCACACGGCCTTTTTTGTTTTTTAAAATTCATAACAATTAGCTACACAGATTCAAATATCTAGTCCCTCAAGTATTTACCAAGCAACAACTATGATAAATTACGCTCATATAAAACCACATATTCTTCCAAACTCTCATTTTTATCATTTTGTAGTGTATAGTTCCAATAAGACCACAAATAAAAGAAATGTGATTAATCCTTCGCCAGATAATTTCAGTAGTTTTTATGTCACTGATTATTTAAATATACTGAGGAACTCGTGGAATAAAAATAATCACTCGGTTATGAAGAGTTTAACACGAATTATTCTCTAACAGTCCTGTACGAAATTTTCTAAATCCATTGTTATCCAATGGCTTTCACCTTAGTAGTGACGATTTTACCAGAAGTCTTAACCTATACATATTAAAAAAGTTTAAATACACAAAATAACCCTCTATTACTTAACAACTATCAATCTGGATCACCAAACGTATTACTTGGTCAAGATGTAGTTAATAAATCTGAGTCCATATCAGAAACAATATTGAGAACAAAACTGTCAAACGGAAATCAACGGTCCACACTTACAAACACTCCTTTTGTGTCAAATCATGATGGCTATAATAAATTAAGTTCAAAAATAATAATTTCAACTGTTCCATGAAAAACGTACACAATTTCACTTTATGAATCAAGAAAATATTTTTGATCAAATAACTCAAACAAATTATTACAGCCTATTTCAGAGAGCATAAATAATCTTGATAATGATGTTTTTATCAAAACTTATAATTGATTTGTGTAGAAGTGGCATACTGTTATTCAACCAAACCCTTTAAACAAGCAATTCAATTTTAATAGAACAATAGAGTATACCTATCTATAGCGTGACATAATTTGACTTTTTAGTAAAATATACAGATATGGTCAAATATATATATACTCCATTGGCATAGAGATGAAATTGGTAGGACAAATTTCAGAATAGTAAACGTAGTAACAGTATCAGCGGTAATAGAGAAGATTAGGTATTGAAAATAAAACCCAAATAAACATAAATCAGTGAAATAAAGATGATAATATGAGGAATTTAGAATTTGGGAGAAGACAAAAAAATGAATCCATCTGCGCCATCGTAAACGATTTTTAATCATTTCGTCCAAAGTTTCTAACCATTGGTTACGATAATCACGCGGACCACAACCAGGTAGTGTACACCCATTAACATGGCCTAGTCCAATTGTCAATAACTTCATGGACTGATGCCATGTAGAAATGTCAAACAAATTCTGATTAATAGTAGTTGATCACTTTTTCCGGTTAAATGAGTACATGAACCTTCACATAATTCACTCATTGTTTGAAAGGCTTCTCAAGAAGTTTAATGTCACGAAATATCAGGTTGAAGGTACAGATTTTGTTGACATTTTGCATTTGAATTAAACTGCACTTCCCGGAATGATTTCCTTTGAATTATCATATATTTTAAAACCAAATTGATTGATCTCTAAGCAGTGAACAATTTAGCAGTCGTTTTTAGTGATGATCGGTTTCTATCGATCAAGGCATAATATGGACACTAGCCTTGGTGATTCGATATTGCGTGGCTACAGTGCAATTTTACGTAACTAATATACGCTTTACATAAAAATCTGATATGAACATTCTTCCATCAATTTGCCTAACATATGTAAACCATATTTCGCGTTACCTACTTCTACCAACGGCATCTCAAAATTATTCATACTCAACTCACAACAACCAACGAAATGTTTCAGTAGTGTTTTGGGCAGAAACGTTATCTAATATTCTGTACTAGTGACAGAAATATTAGTACAACTCCCTCTGTATACACATGGATCCACTTGACTCCCCTTATCAAAGAGCAAACGTGTGCATAGGAATATTATCATTTATTTATACATACTATATGGCAATCACAGCCGTTGTGTAAACTTCAGGCCTAGATTTCCTGCGTCACAACATCAAAAACAAAATATAAAAATTATTTAAATTGGCAAGTCTTCATAAAAAGTGGAGAATATAACTAAAATAAAAATCAGTAGGTGAGCTGTTTTGATAAGTTTAAAAAAACAAACAAGAAAGACTGACAAAATAACAGAGGTTTTTAAATAGTAAACTAAGCGATTGTTTGAAATAACAGATGAATATTTGAAATTAACAAGCTTATCTGTGTTGGACTGATTATAGGAATTTGTAGCATGTAGGCGGATGTTTGTTGTATGTGTACGTATGTGCCTGCATACACACAATTTAAACGGTAATGTAGTATTACGAAAAAAAAGTTGGAGTCAGTCACACAAAGATCAATCAAACCAACAGCACAATTAAACCAAAATCATATTCACATAGATAAATAAATATAAAGAAACACAAATGACAAACACACCACTACTACTATTTAAAACAAATAACAGTAGTATTAGGAGTAACAATTGGTTAAACAACAGTAAAGGGAAGGCACTTTTACAAGGGTTTGAAGATTTTAAAAAGAGAAATAAACAAAATAGGTGTAAATCACAAAGACTATTTATCTTTTCCAGAAATAGTTGATAAATGTTCTTGGAACATTGTATAATTGAGAAGTAATTTAACTTTTAGTTATTTAGTGAAAATACACTCATAATGTGTAATTAGTATTTGTGTGAATGCATTAATCACATCGATGGCAGTCAATGAAGCTTGATTCCTTGACCAAATTAAACTAGGCCCGAATACAACAGCTAAATTAGCTGCATTCATCTTATTTTGTTGAGAATAAGTGGTGACCTGAAATAATGAGAATAAAAAAAGAAGAAAGATTTGCGTAAAAAATAAGCGTAATATAAATCGCCACAAATCTTGTCAGAATAGTAAAAAGCATAACAGTTTGAATATAGACAGAGAACAAGAATAATGAAAGTACCTGCACAATGAATACTGACAAAAGCAAAAATGAATACATAGCCTACAAGATTTGTTATTAGAAAAATATAATATGTCTACTGATCACAGGTATCAATGATATATTTAATCATGGGATAATGGGTCAGAGAAGGACCACTGGTTATCAATTGAATAATGAACAACACTATGCCTGACTTGTATTTTTCTGGTCAAAATCTACCGTTCAAGTTTCAATGTAGTCAACAGTCTAAGTTATAACAAGAGTAGGACTATTAATTAATTGAATATGATAATCGTTCACTGTAAAGCTCGGTTATATTCTGACATGTTCTGTTGTGTATTCATTCGAATATGACATTTGTTCTTTATAGTATTCTTTTAAGTTCTGATTATTTAGATGTAATCAATAATCACTGCAAAATGAATCCGTGAATATATGAGTGGTACTTTTCCCTAATTTATATTCTTGCAAACGCAGGCTCGTTTTTGTATTTTTAATAGTTGTGGCTCGATCAAAAGTATTGGGGGCAGAGTAAAGGAGTAACTTCATACGTTCACCCTTGCATTTATATTAATGAGATGCATAGCGAAAAACAAGTTATGTATAATGTTAAGTAAGATTCAGCGAGTAAGAAGTGTGTGAGGAGCATCCAACCGCTCAAGACTGTGATAGATATGTCTGGAACACAAGTGTTACATAGCACCAACAGATTAATACTACAAATTATAATTTTCTTTTTGATATAAAATCCTTTATGGTAAAAATTTAAACTAATTAGTTTTATAATTGTTCTGAACTGTTGTTTCATAATTTGAACATTATGTTTTTGATCTATAAAATTACATTTAGTGTCTTTTCGAAGAATTTAGAGTACATAAAGTGTTGTATTGAATCTACTTTATTTATTGTATTATTTATACAAATGAGGGCCAGAATATAGATGCATCACAAGAACAGGGGAATAAAATTGCGAAGAGATAAAAAGAGAGAAGCATAATTAAAAGGAAATAAATAAATAAAATAGTATATGGTGGAAAGAACATTTCATTTAGAATACTAATCAGGAATACTTCCAGTCAAGTGAGTTTCTTTTATTTTCATGAAAGATGTAAGAAAAAATCACAGTATGACAGCCATTGGTCGAGCCATATCTGATAGTATCAGGACCATGAGTTGATTCACTTCTGAGACTCCCGACCAGGGAGTTGTGATGGTCCGACAGATATAAATTACATACAATTTTCTTTTAAATAGTAGCGCAACGGCATGAACTGACCACCTCTTTGCCTTTTACACACAGTCCCCAAGTCGGTAACTGATGCACAGTGTGAAAGCCAGTGGCATGACACCGGTATCAAATGTTAGGGTCGCCGAAGTCGGTGTTTAAAATGATGACATTATGTGAGTTATCGTCACTGTATCCGAACACACATTGCCGAGTCTAAACATCACTAACATGATTTCGTCACAGGATATCCGTAATTCTTCGGAGATAATGATGATAGAACACAAACTTGCCTAACATTCGGAGAAGCCAGTCTCCACAAGATTGGAGCGAAAATGAATTGAAGCCGCTGAATACTAAAGCTTATTACTTGTTATTTCACCTAACAATAAGACCAATAATTATAATTTATCATTATTCATGATCAGGTCACAAAGCAACTAAAACATTTCAAAAAAAGTCTCACGTACACACATCCGAAAAACTCACTAACCTCTGTTAAAAATCTTATCAGGAAATTTAATATTTCGTAATTATCATCAGGTAACTTCATAAGAATTAATTTTTTAGCTAATGCAACTTTTTCTTTCGCACCCAGACCTTCCAGAATTCCAATGAAAAGAGAGGGGGAAAGAAGATAGGACAAAAATATGTTCATTCTATGGAATAAATAATAATATGGACTTGATATATTCATAATAATACCAATAGTAACAACAATGATCACTAGCGTTAATCCTGGTTGCTCTTTGGACATACATTTCCTTCTTATTCCTCTCTATTAGTGTATTATACCATATTACTTTTTAATATTAGGTAACTAGCATTATAGTCAATTATCTTTAGTAAATATCGCTTAGGATGTCTTATTTGCTGTAATAGGGAATATTTTTTAAATGTTTATAAGTGTTTGCAACACAACACATTCTATCATCGTAATTACATTTATTTGACGACTACAATAGTTAATCTTTATTTCATATGTGTTTATTGAACATCTGTTTCTTCGTAAAAACCACCATATTTGGTTTTAAGATAGTTCTTATTTAAATTTACTGCTCAATATCATTGACTATGACTTAGCTCTATGTGTTCTTCAATTTATCGACATACATCCTCTTTCACCAATGCTATGAACCATTATATGTTTTACACACTTCGTACTCTTCAGTTGAATGGTACCAATAGTTCGGACATAAAAAATATATGACTGACATGTAAATCACACCATGATTCAGTAACATTTAGTGAGTTATGCTAGTTAATTAGTTTAGAAAATAAATTACTTACCACTCGTATTTAATATTTCATCATACAGTTCAAATGTTAATAATGGTTCAGTAAGTTCACGTAAAAATGATTTTAATAGAACAGCTGCCAAATGAGGATCATCATAATCTCGTAGATCGACAGTTTCGCCTATTATTTATCATTATTTACAGGAAAGTAAAAAACACATACAATATAATGTATAAGATTAACAACATGAAAATATAAAACCCTTACAAATCAAACTTTACGCCCATCACATAAACTGATGGTTATCATGATACCACACATCAGTGGAGAATGCGTTGCTATTTGATGTAAAAGGAATTAGATTGGAGCCTGAGTGAAAGCGAATACAGAGATGTAGGTACATCCAGCTGACGAGTCCCAAATAGAAAGGAAAATGCATCACAGATTCCACTTCTGACCACTGTCCAACTTGAGTAGAAACTTATAATTAAATGATAGCACTGAGGCGGTGTGTTCAGGATATACACATATGCGCCAACAGATAACCGATTAGAAATAGTTAACAAGAAATAATAAGCTCTCATATACAAGGTGCATACAATAAAAATAGTTTAACAACTATTTCAAAAAAACACACACGTATATTAGATATTTAAATAATACGATGTGAGAAATGTAGCAGGTTAATTCCAATAAGATAATACGGTTAGATCACGGCCGACTCAGTGGTTTAGAAGTTACGCGTTTGCGCGCAAGAGAGAAGGTCATGGGTCTGATTCCCGCGTGCGGAGTCATGGATGGGCGCTGATGGAGCAACCAATACTAGGACGAAACATCTATCCGACGCCTCCAGATTTCTAACGGTTGTCTCACTTAGATCAATTCGGGATTTCAATCAAAATTTAACAATATTCATAACCCCATACTTATAAAAATCGATTGTTGGGAACTGAAAACGTTTTGATTATCTTTTTACGAGAAAAATAGTTTAACTAGTATGATTTTCTACTGTCAAAGCTGTAGTAAAATGAACTATTGTGCGGACAATAATCAATACAGAGAAAGATGAATAGATATTACCCACTATTGAATCTCTCCCTTTTTCCCTACCATATACATATTTGAAAGAGTGTAGTTTGCCTCAATAACTGACTTAAGAGTTTAACAACTACGATACGAGCTACCATAATGTGTCTTCACTTTGATCTTTGAACATAAAATTAACTTATACATTTTTTAATTCCGCGAATTTATTTTTCCCTGAAATCCCACTATTTATGCTTAGTGTTCTATTACCAATGATATTATTACTACTCCCACTACTCTGACATTTGCCCTGATAGTTTCATCTAAATATGCTGATTTTATGTGGCGAATTGGACTGATCCATATTTGTGGCAAGTTCCATGTTATTTATGACAGACTGAAAATTCTTGTATATTAGTTGAAGAAACCCTAACGTTTTTAAGACCTAATATACAAGGCAGGCTAGTGAGAAAATGATCAGGAACATAAGGCCTGGTGGCAAAGTTGTACTACCAACTGCATAGGAGTGTGACAGCAGTTGGTATTTTCAACAAACAACTACATCCTCAGAGATATTGCCTTCCCATGCAGGAAGGACAGGGTTAGAGTATGATGGTCGTAAAAAGAGAACACCTGACCTCACCACACGGATTACCGTTGCTGTCAGTAAGGGCTTCAATGTATAAAAAAGAATGTGTGTGACCAAACTCAAATAGCTGTCTCTTGGGTTCTACCGTTACGCATCTAGGTAGTCAAGACCATTACCAAACCACTTTTTTTTAAAAGGTGCCTTAAGAAGTATCCTTCCACAGTGTAGGTAACTGGGAAGCGATTACCACCCATATATTTCTAACAATGAAGACTAAAGTAATCGACGTCTCAAATAGTGTCAGTAGGCTTCATACAAATACCGTGCCTCGAGTTCAAATGCATACAGACCTGTATTTAGAGAATTTTTCAGATTATTATGGCTCATAAAAAAATGAATTAGATGAAAATATTGTTGATTATGATCTAAATAGTGTATTTTAGAATAGACGATAGGCTGGTTGGTTAACAACCGACACTTTTAAAAGTTGAATATCTAAAGTTAAAATCCAATTGGGCCTTGAGTATTTTGGACAAACTGAGCTAGTATCGCCAACAAACAAACTTTTATTAAAAGTTGAGTAAATAAATCTGCGCATGGACATAGTTGTATTATTCCCAATAATATTTGTTATAATCTGTGGAAAAATGAAAATTCCTACAGTAAACACTGAGATTCGCACAACTCAATTAGGAAAAAAAATTTAACAGACGAAGAAGGAATTATTCATCCTCTGAAAAACACGACAATTCCTAAATCGAACTAAATCCATTGACTGATTAATTTTAATGATATTTGACGATTAGTCAACCAATATCACATATGACTGAAATATGGTAAATACAAATATAGATTTTTTAAAGAATTACTACAAAAAGTATACTGTATGTCACACACTACATAAATGTCATGTTAAATTAAACAACCATTGTATTAAAGTAATTATCTTATTGAATTATAATCAGAAGCTTTCTTACAAGAGAAAATATTTTTAGCTTACAAAAAGAATTCCTATCATGAAAAACACTTATATTTTTGTAAGAGTTCATCGTTTAAGAAGGAAAAAAACAACTTCCTTCCATACTACTAACTACTGTAACAAAACATAATCAATCATTGACATTATTTCTACTATGTAGCAAAGAAAATTTTCTTTTCGAAGAAATCATTTACTTAAGCTGTATATTGTATCTGTATGTATAGTTATATGGAAAATATATGTCTATAGGAGGCTGAGAAAGATTGCATCATAAATTGGTTCGAGAATAAATAACAAATGAAGTTACGTACTAATTAAGGGGTAAGAGAGAAAATAATTTATGGGTCATTATCGGCTAATTACTTGACATTTTCTTCTTGAACGTCACTACATTTACTTAAACATTTACGTTTTGGTCAGCCACAGTTATTCGACGAGGGATTTCTTTCGATTATCACATTATACCCTGATTCATGTTAATATGTACATTATCGTTGTGAATGTCACTATCAACTTATTGTAATATGTTTCTGTCCGCTGATACTATAAACATTGATAGTGTTGTTGAAAAGATATATTCAGAAAAATATATGGAGTGGAATGTAAATCTCATAGCACTCGATATCACATAATTACGACTTGACAATTAGTTTGCGCTAGACCGTGAAGACTATAACCTGAGAAGCTGATGGTTGCTAAGAATTAATTTGAACACACGATACATCTACACCTCAAGAAGTTCATGGGTGTCCTAATTATATATGGTAAGTAAAAAATATCCCGACTGGGTTCCAGTAGAAGATTACCGCCATTAGAGTAATCAGACTGTGGTAGATCACTACATAATTACTTGGATATATAACTTTTCCCTGGCATAAATAGAAAAATAAGTTTTTTCACGCTGGCTCCAGTAAGAGCTAGACAATTAACATTGAAAAGTATCAAAAATCCTGAATCGTCCCTAAACATCAATAACGCAACCCGAAGAAACAAAATTTGGAACAGTAGGATGACAAAATAATGGGTATGATCAGAGCTTGGAATTTGAAGCTCAAGTGCTGATTCAATAGACAAGGTGAACGTGGTACAGCTCTGATCATCTGAAATGAAACAATTTATGTATAAAACTAGTGAGGAAGACCGTTTATTATATGTCAAGTTTAAGAGAAACAAATATAAGTAAATGACAGTACATTTTTGTTCAAGAAATCAATATCAAAGACCTGGAACTGTACTGAAACAACAAGAAGCAAATGTAAAGGAGTCAATCGGTTTACATAAGCTCATAACTGGAAAAGCTATTCACCCTCAAAGGAATTCGATTGTTGCAAATCATTGATACTCCATGTGTTTTTCATTCAGATTGACGTTAGCATCTTAGTTTCTTCACTGATTACATGAGAAAAATCTATATAAATCCATCCACGTAAACTGGATGAAATAGTGAAAGTGCTTTTAATATCATACATTCTTGTGTGCCACTGAAGACACTATACGATATATCTTTCGAACTACGTAAAATAATTTAAAAAAAGGTGAATGTGATACATTGAGTACAATAGAAAAAAGTGACTCTCTTGATATGGAAAATATTGATTGAGTCGTTATACTGAGTAACAAACTAGAAAAACAACTAATATTTTGCTTTGAAATAGAGCATGGAATTATCATCTGTCTGTGCTAATGGGGCATGGCAAATTGAACCAATGTACATAAGTACCAGGTCCGACGTTGTGACTGACTGTGTGATTGACACTGTTCAACTAAGTTTAATAATAATAATGATATTAATAATAAAAACAATAATAATAATAACTCCGCCTGTAGCTCTTCTAGAATTACTGCCGGCCCCAAGCCCGGGTAAAGGAGAAGGGTTGGGCATGGGGTTAGCGACCCCATCCTGTAGAAAAACAAACTCGTTAAAAAACGCTAACCAGAAAAGATTATTCAAACTATTTAAATTCTGCCCTAGGAGTCGAAGGAATAATTATGACGCCTCATGATGAAAGCCGAAATTTTTCGGAAGTCACGAGGCCGATAGACCTTCTATCAACCAGAGCAACACTCTTTATAGGTACATGGAGCGTCCAGACAATGTGAGAGACAGGAAAGACCAGTCAAATAGCAATGGAAATGAGGAGATACAAATTGGCGGTACATGGAATCAGCGAAACCCATGGGACACTAGCTGGACAACAAAGGCTAAGTACGGGAGAGACGCTACTGTACTCCGGTCACGAAGGGGAAATGCTCCACACAATCAGGGAGTTGCTCTAATGCTATCCAAAGAAACACGAAATGCATTTATCGGATGGGAATCTCATGGATCTAGGATAATCAAATCATCATTCAAAACAAAGAAGGAAGAGATCACAATGAACGTTATCTAATGTTATGCACCCACCAATGATAGCAGCGACGACGATAAAGATCAGTTCTATGAAATGCTGCAATCAATTATAGCGAAGTGCTCAAGAAAGGACCTCAACATCCTAATTAGATATCTAAATGCTAAAGTAGGAGTGGACAACACAGGATAAGAAGATATAATTGGACGACATGGACCAGGAGAGAGAAATGAAAATGGGAACAGATTTGCAAATTTATGTGCATTCAACAAATTGGTTATAGGCGGCACAATATTTCCATTTTATCAGCATTTTAACCAAATAAGACTATGTCATCTGCGTATTCTAAGTCGATAAGTGGACCTCCTGGTAGGAGATCAATTCATAAAAATTCAGTCGACGAAAGAGTTATTTTCAGCAGTAGGTCTATAATAAAGTTAAACAAAAATGGGAATAGAAAACTGCCTGGCCGGACACCACTTGAGATTGTAAAATCATATGACAGTTCGCCATAAGCTAGCAGCAGCCTCTGCATCGATAGGCCTCCACATACACAAAGGAAAAGGCAAGATTCTCAAATACAACACGGAGAACACCAACGCAATCACTCTTGATGGCGGAACTTTGGAAGAGGTAGAAACATTCACCTACCTGGGAAGCATCGTTGATAAACAAGGAGGATCGGAAGCAGATGTAAAGGCGAGGATTGGCAAAGCAAGAGCAGCATTTCGACAAATGAAGAACATATGGAACTCAAAACAACTGTGAAATAACTTCAAAGTGAGAATCTTTAATGCGAATGTCGAGACAGTCCTACTGTAAGGAGCTGAAACGTGGAGAACTGGTACATCCATCGTCAAGAATGTACAAGTATTTATAAACCCTCCTCCTTTACCCGGGCTTGGGACCGACAGTAACTCTAGAAGAGCTACAGTTGTTTACGCAAAATACTCAACATTCACTGGCCGGATACTATCAGCAATAGCGTTTTATGGGAGAGGACAAACCAGCTTCCAGGTGAAGAGGAAATTAGGAAAAGACATCGGAAGTGGGTCAGAAATATATTAAGAAAGTCACTAAATTGAGTCATGAGGCAAGCCCTAACTTGGAATTCTGAAGGGAAGAGGAAAAGAGGAAGGTTAAAGAACACATTACGTCGGGAAATAGAAACAGATATGAAAGGGATAGATAACAACTGGAAAGGTTTGCTCAAGATAGGGTTGTATGGAGAATGCTGGTGGGCGTCCTATGCTCCTCCACGAGGGTAACAGGCGTAAGTAAGTAATAATAATAATGATTAATATAATAATAAAGCGAGTTTACCATTATTATATAAATACTGTACATCCCGTAATTGTTTCAGACTGACAGATCGACGGAAGATTCCTTCAGTTGTTAAACCTAAAGCAGTTAAAAGAGAGAGAGGAATGAAGTAAACGCTTAGATTTTTTCGTTAGTTGACACTCGTAAGAAAAGTATATCTGAAATATTGATGGAACTGATGCTCCCTGTGGGATTTGAGTCTAGGTCATTCAGCTACACAATCTGAGAAGTTGTCACCAAGCTATTCGTGGTACGACTGACCTGCTATGGAACTGAGATATTTACATTGATTGATCATTCAGCAGTGGCCAATAACATGATTATCTGATCTTTTAGTGCAAATCCAATACTATCGACTAAAATTTGTCACTTTGAAAAGAACAGTTTAAGTTTGATTGACTGAAATGTACTGTGTAATCAACTGGAATTGCTAAGCCCCCTTACAGTCTTGAAATTCATGCGTTTAAGAAAAAAACATACTGAACTGCTTCAATTCATTTTGTATTGTTTCTTGGAATCTTCCTATTGTTGTTTAGGACTGTAGTTGGTCAGTCTCTTATTGGCATATGTGCATCCTGTGCGGATTGAGTCGATATTGCCTTGAGTTATAAGCATTCTAAGCAAAGATGAGTGGTGGCAAGCAGTGGAATCCAGGACGTGTGTTTCGTCTTATTTGGGACTTGTCAGCTGGAAGTACCTGCATCCCAGAGTTGAGGATTTAAACAAACGATACAAAGTGAATTGAAACTTCACCCCATTACACAAGCTAATGGCTATCAGCATTCAGTGGCTAAGTGGGTTACGTTAAAGATCAGCTCATGATGTAGACTATCAATTCAACAATCTGGATAACTCATCATACTTACTGTAGCTGTTATAACCATATATCCAATGTAGTCTGGAATTGTGTGGATTCTGCAGAACAAACGTGAACTCACCTTGTTATCCCCCATTTATTCATATTTTATTATAAGTATTTAAAAAGCAAAAATATAACATAAATAAGAAAAAGAGAATTCAGCGAAGAAAATTTTCTTTTCGACGAAACCATTTATTTAAGCTGTACATTCGTATATATAGTGATATGGAAAATATATGTCTATAGGAGGCTAGAAATTATTGCATTATAAATGGATTCGACAATAAATAACAAATGATGCTAATTAAAATCCTAAAGAAGATGAAAGATGAGTTCATTATCAAGTGTAACCTCTTTGAACATCTCAAACCATCGGGTTCTGTCGTACCTAGACTATATGGACTCCAAAAGTTCATAAGAATAATGTCCCTTTACGTCCAATACTTGATATGAACAACTCTCCATATCACTCTATTGCTAAATGGTTAGTTGACATTTTACAACCTGTTAAAAATCATATCAACAAATACAATGCTCTTGATTGTTTTGAATTTGTCGACTCAATCAGAAATATCAACGTAATGGGTAAGAAAATGCTCTCATTAGATGTCACGTCGTTGTTTACAAATGTTCCTCTCACAGAAACCATTTGTTTTTTATGTGACTATATTGAAAATAATAATCTGGAGATATGTATCCCAAAACACTATCTTAAAGAACTACTCCTACGATGCACGCTCAATGTACAATTTAAATTTAATGATGGTTTCTATAGCCAAACAGATGGAGTTGCAATGGGCTCTCCATTGGGTCCTCTTTTGGCTGATTGTTTCATGGCCAATCTAGAAAATTCAGCACTTCGTCCAATAATCGAGAAATTTCATTTATATAAGAGATATATGGATGATACCTTCATTATTTGTGATGATAACATGGACCACAATGAAATATTAAATATTTTCAATAACTGTCACCCTTCAATTCAATTTACCTTAGAGGCAGAATCGAACCACGAATTCCATTTTCTTGATGTCAGTTTGAAAAGATTGTCTGATGGTTATTTACAAAGATCTATGTATAGAAAACCCACTTGGAATGGACAATACACGAATTTCCATAGTTGGGTTCCACTGAGTCGAAAGAGGAACTTAATTCACTCTTTATTATCTAGGATTAAGCGAATCTGTTCTACTGACACAATAAATGAAGAATTACTTCATCTTCGACAGACCCTCATCAAAAATGGTTATCCACCGAGGTTCGTTGATAGCAACTTAACATCTAGACGTCAGCAACAAATAACTTTGACGGTGCAGAAGAAAACCTTGTTTATGAATATGGAATTCAAGGGAGACACGGCTGCTGAAATCCTGAATAAACGGATTTCAAAAACGTTGAATAAAACTTTCTACACAGCCAAGCTTCGAATCGTTTTCTCTAGCCGGCCTACCATTCGGGGGTGTGTTAAGGATAAACTTTCGCTTTGAGCCACATCGATGTGTATTTATAAATTTACTTGCTCATGTGGAGCACGTATATAGGCCGCACAAAGTGATCGCTTTCCAAACGTATCTCTGAACACTATCCAGCTTGGCTCCTAAAAGGTGAATGTAAGAAGATAACCAGTTCGATACAAGAGCACTTGATCAATTGCGGACACATTGCTCCAAAAGAGACGTCTTTTAAAATAATCTATAGAATTAAAGGAACCGGATCAAAGGGGGGTCGAATCAATATTTCATGCACTGCTGAGGCATTGGCAATCCATGAATTCAAGCCTGAACTTTGCGTGCAGAAACGATTTGTCCAACCTCTTACCCTTCCTTGGCCCTAATTCCCTCATTGGGTACGTTTTTTGGTTTTGTACTTTTATCTGATTATTATCGGTTTTTTGTTTTTTAAATTACTACTTTACATTTAAACTCTAATCAGTTATTATTATTACCTTATACAAGTTTTCTCCCTTACCCCTTGATTAGTACGCCATCTCATTTGTTATTTATTGTCGAATCCATTTATAATGCAATAATTTCTAGCCTCCTATAGACATATATTTTCCATATCACTATATATACGAATGTACAGCTTAAATAAATCATTTCGTCGAAAAGAAAATTTTCTTCGCTGAATTCTCTTTTTCTTATTCAATGACATTATGAGTTATTTTAGTTATAACATAAATACTTTATTTTCATTAAAAAGAAAATAAAAGTAACACATACCACGATCGCGTAGATAATCGATAGCATCTTCAAAGACAATAGGAATAGAACGACCACCGTTATTCATTTTAATGCTATTTGAAGAGAGAGAGAGGGGGAGGAAAGAACAATGCTTCAATTCAAAGTTTAGATTCTAATTGAAATCAAAACGTTGTTCATGCTATGCAGAACATAATATAACATAATATACAGTAAGTGTATGGATTATATATATATAAAGTTTCCGGAGTTCCAGTGAGAAGCCGTGACCGGTGGAACTAAACCGAGTTCGATAGGGGGAAGTAGCTACCTGAGACAGTGGGAGGTGGTTGCGCAAAATGATGAAGTGTTTGAAGTTAAATATGTACGCCTTTGGATACCAGCCCAGTGGTCTGGAGGCTAAGCGTTTGCGCGCAAGACCAAAGATCCTGGATTCTATTTCTGGCTGCAAGGTCGTAAATGCTTACTGCCGAGGAGTCCCATATTAGGATGAGGAGATGGTCTAGTGCTCTCAAGCTTCTAATGGTTATCTAACTTGAATCGACTCGTGATTCAAATGAAATCCAGTAATCTCCACAATTTAATACTAATATATATTTAAACGTTACATACTTACAATTGTAAGCTAACATTAAATTGCTGTTGAGGATCTGGAGTAACATCTTTGCATTGTTCTTCATATGCACCAGAGAATACTGAAGCAGAGTCAGGCAGCGATGGCATATAAGGTGCAGATACTCGAGAATTAGAACTGAAAGAATAAAAGATAATACGAATATTATGTAATATTGTGTCAGAATCTTAACATACGATTTGAGACAGACATGTATGAACTCAAGTACTCACAAATTACATAAGTAACTTATTTTACTAAGTGGACATTTATGTGCTTGCTAATGAGCGAGTGTTTATGTGAGGGTTAATGATATTTTTCGGTTGCTCAAATTGAGAAAGGAGTGGAAGAGTTCGAATCTGAACCGTAGTGGATGAATGAGAAATCCCTTTAGTCAATCATACGCAACGTAGAACCTGACATATATTCATTGGTTCAAGTTACCATACCACATTGGCATAAGTTATTCACTAAACAACTGTATTATGATGCTCAGTGTTCGAGACTAATGTTAATACACACACTTCCTATTTTAAAGCCCCCAACCAGGTACCGAGTGAGAAGGCAAACAGCGAAGAAGGGAGTTCATTAGCCTAACCTGATTCACATGCAAAAACACACCTTAGAGAATTAAACTTCTTGGCCAATCACATCTGTCATTCGGAGGTTTTTGATTGGCCGACTACACACTATCATCAACATGACTGAGTAAAGTGTGTAATCAAATGATACGCCACCTAAATGCCAGAACGGTGAGACATCATAAAAGACAGGCGCTAATGAAAGGAATATGTCTCACATCTACTAAAGGTTTCAGCGTACACGTCCTCTTGGTCAGAAGGACAGTCGTATGCGTACTAATAATTTGTGTACATTACAATTTAGTGTGGCAATTAAATATTCCTACTCATTTCAACATTCCCTTTTGCTTAGTGGGTCTGGTGTATTACGCATTATATCAAGACAACTAACTAACGTCCCTATTCATTTTAGAAAATCCATAGCCACATCCATTCCCTAGCAACAAAACCCAGGAAAGCATAAAAATCTCTAATCGTTTACGGAAACAAATCAAAAGGCCTTGAAATGTGAATATCCCTTGATTATCGAAAGAGTGCATAGATCATTTAAATAAAGATCTTATCGCTCAAAACCTTATGGAACTTAATCGTATATGACGATGATTTTACGTGATTTAGGAATTTTATTAAAGTTTATAAGCAGGCTTTTTCAAGTTTAAGTTTTCGATATTTCGCTACTTATAGAAGGGGTTTTATGGAGATTTAGTATTTACTATAGTTGAAAGCGTGAGTCAATTGAAGCTAGGTTCAAATCTCGCGAGAGCGGGTTCGTGGATGCGCACTGCTGAGGAGTCCCAAAATAGGACGAAACGGCCGTCCAGTGTTTCCAGGTTTTCCATGGTGGTCTAGCTTCAATTGACTCACGCTTTCAACTATAATTTCGCTACTTATAAATTCACTAATTTGAGCAGGTCAATTTCTTAAAGACTTCTCTTTTACGCTCAAATTCTCCGAAATGTGGGTAAAATAAGATGATGATTTACAGGATTAAACAACAGTATTAATTTATAAGTAAAGGTGGCTAGTGGCTAGCAGCGGAATCCAGGACGTGTGTTTCGTCTTATTTGGGACTTTTCAGCTGGAAGTACCTGTATCCCAGAGTTGAGGATTTAAACAAACGATACAAAGTGAATTGAAACTTCACCCCATTACACAAGCTAATGGCTATCAGGACTCAGCAGCTAAGTGGGTTATGTGATAACGTTTGAAGAGAACGGTACTGGGTTCTGGTCTCTGGGTGAACATCAACTTTAGGATACAGGTACATCCGTTTAACGATTCCCAAGTGGAACGAAACATGCGTCCTGAACTTTTGTTTATGAAGCTTGTGACTGAAAAGGAAATATCGAGGCAATCCGTACAGGATGCATATATGTCAACAAGGGATGACAAATTGCAATCCTAAACAACAATGGGAAGATACAAGCAAACAACACCAAGTGAATTTAATAGCATTTATTATTCAGCACATAGGCTATGGATAATATTTAGATTAAACCAACAAGCAAACAAATGAACTCATTATTGACGTGAGTTTAGATGGGAATCTGTGTAAATGTTTCATGAGACATTGGTTTAATCTCGTACAATTTTCACTATATAGCGGAACCATCACAAAATGTTATTAATCCGAAGCATTATATGAAAGTATCTTCTATAATGCTTTATGCATTGTGAATAACTAAGGTGATATTGCTTTCTGAAAGCCAAGCGCTGTCAAATGAAAATATGGTATCATTCCATGTATTCATTGACTGTAAGAACGAGCAATGTATATGGGAATGTAGGTATAGACTACTTAGTAGGAGTGAGCGTCATTATCGTAACCAATAATCCGGAGATATAGATTGGAATAGCTCGAAATCAATCACAAAGGCGTAGATCTATTTGTCACCTTTCATTTTCTTTTAATTTTTTTAGGTTTAAAAACTTCTGTTAAAATCCTTAACTGATTTGTGCTTGAAGCTGAAAACCCTGAAGTTGTCGAATCAAATAAATTGTTATCAGCATTCTTTCGTGTTTACTAAGCATTGTCGAATAGCAGTCTTTGGACCACTAAGCAAAAAAAGTCAAGGATTCAAAAGTTATAACAGTGATTGATAGGCATAGCGTAAAAGTATCTTAATGAAAAACTGTATTACATTTTTGTTAAACAGGTAATAAATTCACAATTATTGATCTAATTAGTTAATTAATTAGCGATAACTTGCTTACTCTTTTTGAATTTTCGGAATAGATCTTGGTGGTAGATATTTTACAATGGATTTATCATAGCTTAAATGAACGAATAAAACATAGCAAAATTATCACAATAATAACAACGGTATCATTAATAATTAGTTAATTAATTGAGATACATCAACAAATAAAAAGACGAGAGTTAAAAAAAGCGAAAAATGAATCCCATTTGTTCAAGTAGATTAAAACATTCAATGAAAAGATTTAACTTTAGAGATATTATTCTACTCCAAGCTGTACAATCAGATTTACATGGTACATTTAATTGATAAAGAAGGAAGATATAATGCAGATGATAAGGCACGGATTGGAAGAGCAAGTGGAGGATTTCTACAATTGAATTGTAAATGAAACTCGAAAGAATTATCAGTCATCATCAAAGTCATAGTTTTCAATAAGAACGTTGAGACAATTCTATTGTACGGAGCTGAAATTTGGAGAACTACTACCACCACGAAAAGAAGTAAAGGTATTTATAAAGTTGTCTATACAAGATACTTCAGATCTATTGGCCAGACACTATCAGCAACAACCCACTGTGACAAAAAAAAACCGGTTTCCAGACGAAGAAGAAATTAGGAAAAGACACTGGAAGTGGATAGGGAACACATTGAGAAAACCATCAAGTTGTATCATGAGGCAAGCTCGGGTTTGGATACCTGAAGGAAAAGATAAAGAAGCAAACCAAAGAACGCATTGTACCGGGAATCGAAGGTAGACATCAAAACGAAGAACAGTGCTTCGGTAAAACCTTGAGAGGAGAGACCGTAACAGAGTACCTTGGATATCCCTAGTCTGTGGCCTATGCTCCATGAGGGGTAACAGGAGTAAGGAAATAAATTTAATTGAGAACAAAACAATCAGTATGCAGAAGTTATTAACATAACTACAATAGCTATGTAGTAGCAGAGGGAAAGGGAGAGACCATAAATTGAGTTAAATTGTTTGGTTTCGCAACCAAAGGACCACAAGTTCATACACCGATCCAGCAAATTTGTCAGTCTGAAAAGCTAGTCAATTGCAAACACCCACAAAGGTGTAGTTCCAAGCTAACTATATGAAAACATGCCTGATAAATGTGTAAATATAATGTTTATGATGTGAATAGCTGTGTTTCGCAGTTTAAGATAATTTCATATGGACATATCTTACCAAGTTTTGATAAACTGTAAGACCTATAGACTATTGCTGTACGATTTACTGATTTTAAGTTATGCTTGTAGAGTTGGTTGCTAAGTTAAGCCCATATTACCTTATTCTAGCTTCTGGACAGGCCAATTTCTCCATTCATCTTGAATCATATTTTCACCCTTTTAATAATTCGCTTACTAATATTGAATGTTTTTATATGAGCCCATGTGTGTATACTTCTTAATCTACTCATCACATGTCTGTAACCTATTTTTATCTGGCTATCAATATTGATTGACGCTTGATTAAATATAGTTGGCTTACACGCCTTCACCGTTCGTCATTTCGCTTCGCTCTCTTCTATTGGTTTCATCCCTCTCATTTCTTGTCCAGATCAGTGAGTGTACAACATATGGGTATTCAAAGATCCACTCTCGCGTTCGATTTATTTAATTCCGTTATACACCAAAGGGAATTTAATCCATTATCCTATACGAGAATAGTCAGAATGTTAATTTTGACAATAATCATTTATACGATATAACTGGAGTCAGATATGTTTAGTTTATTAGTTTATTCCGTCTCTCACAAGTACAGCCACTTATTTGGCTTGAGCTTGTGTAAATGTTATTTCCTAATTTATGGTGTGATGAGTTCTGTTTGGCTGGTATATAAACCAAGTATGTTTGAAGTATACGACTGGCGTAGTTGAAGCTGTTATTGACATTCTGGACTCAACTGGAAGGACTAGGAGGACAAAGGACCAATAAGGACACGAGACTGCTCATACCAGTCCGTCAGTCAGTCAGTTACAACGCCGGACCAGGCAGACATATGCATTGGTCCAAGTTGCCATACCTCATCAGCACAACAAGATGGACACCAAATTCATAGAAGTAGTCACGTCAATGGTAGTAATATATAAAAGAAAGATTGTATAAGGATATATTACAGGAAGAAAGATAGATATGAAGCAATTTTAATATCAAGGTTTAAGGGAAGATAAAGAGTGTATACACCAACGCCATTGTGATCGATTCTGAGCCATGTCACCCAGAGTCTCCAACCATTGGTTACGATAGTCACGCGGACCCCAGCCAGTGATTTCAAGCTCTGATGCAGCGTTTTGGTTTGGCCGCCCCTAACTCTCTTCCAACCATCCCCTACACTAGTCAGCATAGCGCGTCATGGTATTCGGTGTTCAGGCATACGTAACACGTGGCCCAACCATCTCAGTCGATGAAGATTCATGACCTCATCCACTGATTTACCATCATTCCCTAATACCCTGAGTCTAAACTCACTATTATTTACCCGGTGATCCCAGCAGATGCGAGCAATATTTCTAAGACATCTGTGGTCAAATACTAGTAACTTCCGAGTACCTTCTACTCTTAATGGCCATGTTTCACAGCCGTAAAGTAGAACAGAGCGAACTGCTGTGCAGTATACTCGTCCCTTCATTGATAGACGGATATCTCGTCTTCGCCATAGGTGACGTAAGTTGGTAAAAGCCAAACGAGCTTTCTGAATCCGTGCAGAGATTTCGTCAGACACCAAACCATTAGGGCTGGTCAGACTTCCAAGATAAGTGAAGTTCTCGACGCGTCAGACCACTTCACTCCCTACCCTTAGTTCAGGTGTTGACGCAGGTCAGTCCTGGAGTAACAATTTACATTTAGACGGAGAAAAATGCATCCCAAACATCCTGGCATTATTACTGAGTGCTAACAGAAGATTCTGCATTTTATCAGCGTTTTAACCAAATAAGACTATGTCATCTGCGTATTCTAAGTCGATAAGTGGACCTCCTGGTAGGAGATCAATTCATAAAAATTCAGTCGACGAAAGAGTTATTTCCAGCAGTAGGTCTATAATAAAGTTAAACAAAAATGGGAATAGAAAACTGCCTGGCCGGACACCACTTGAGATTGTAAAATCATATGACAGTTCGCCATAAGCTCTCACTCGACTGGTAGTATTCGAGTAAAGAGCCTTCACGAGGTTTATGTACTTCTGAGGTACATCTTTCAATGACAGACACTTCCACACAGCCTCTCGGTCTACAGAGTCAAATGCTGCTTTAAAGTTAAGAAAAACTATCATTGTCTGACGTCGATAAGCATGCCTGTGTTCTAAAACCTGATGAATAGTGAATGTGTGGTCAATACAGCCACGACCAGGTCTGAAGCCAGCCTGATTTTCTCGTGTTTAGAGTTCACGAGTCTTAGTTAGGCGCCGGATAATTATTGAGGCTAACATTTTAGATGCTACGTTAGTCAAACTAATTCCTCTGTGGTTATCACAGGATGATTTTGACCCCTTCTTATATATTGGGACAATAAGTGATTGTGACCAGTCGGATGGGAATATATTCAACTTCCATATTTTAGATAAAATATTGGTCAACCCAATCGCTAAAATTGGACCACCATATTTAAAGACCTCTGAAGCCAATCCATCTGGGCCAGCTGCTCTTTTTCGTTTCAGATTAGCTATAGCCTTTTGAACTTCAATTACAGTCGGAAGTCCTATTTCAATGTTTCATCCAAGTTGTTTTGAAATGGTGGGTATCCGTAGAGTAGCCGAAGGCCAGCTGAACTGCTCATTAGTGTTCCAACCATCGTACTAAATGTCTGGACTGAAAGTAAACAAGAGTGACGTCTTTTTCCGAGATCGTCTCACTTAAACTAGACTTCTTAATTCCAGTTTCTTTTATTGATTTGAAAAGCTGCCTGGTGTTACCTACAGTCGCTGCCTTTTCCATCTCTTTTGCTTTCGTTGCCCACGATGGCTCCGTAGACTTTTGGTTAACCTAGATCTCATTTGTTTTCGCTCTTCATCGTGTTCGGAACCCGATGGGATGAGTTTACAAGAATCTATTTGTGCAATAGACTTAGTAGAAATCCACTGGTTTCTCGTGACCCTTTGATTCAAATCACTGATAGATGTCGCTGCTGTTTCCGTAGCTGTTCGTACATCTTTCTGTTAGTGGGATACAGATTGGATTAAAGCCTATCGCGTGCAGGATTGTGATGGGGCAGGTTGATTGGCTATTTTCTAACCAGTCAGTGCTAGTAGAGATTTGGTGAAGACCCTAGAGTATTGTGTAAAAGTTATAAGTATACTTACGTTTTTCTTATTGTGACTCCTACTTCCATCCAACCTTTTTATTTGAAATATAATTACATTCCTGTTCAACCGTGTTCTGATTTGGGGACTTGTCGAGTGAAGTGTCTGGGAATACTAAGTAATAAAAGTACCTGGGTCAGCCTCGCTTTCGAAATTGCCTGAGTGTGACTTCAGGTGTTACTGGAATTTACCTTTGACTTTCTCATCGCTGATTTCAACTCTAATGGGTCTTCTCAATGTGGCTTTTCTGCTTCCAGTGAGGCTCAAGCAAATGCGTGTTTGTATTAAAGCATGATCAGAGTCTAAACATGTACTCCAGAACGAGCGACAGTCTTTTATCGAGCCTCTCCAACGATGACTGATGGTAATATGGTCTATTTGAGTCCATCGTTGGTTTGCTGCAGGGGGTGGCCGTGTTAGACCATGTCTCTCCTTATGCTTAAAATAAGTGCTTGTTGGAAATAAACGACCATAAATTAAAAGTTTCGCTATCACCAACTTGAATTTTAAGATTTCTCTTAACTGTATGTATTATAATGAACAATGGCAGGAACGACAATGAATGCTTATCAAAAATTAATGAATTAACAGGCTTATTTTATTTAATTATTTATCATTATCTAGAAGTAACTTTAACAAACCATCTAGTTCCTATCAACTGGAAAACTAAGGTATAGACTAATAATATGCAGGTTTATTATTTAAGTTCAAATTAGAATAACTTTTGGTACACATTTGTTCTATTACCTGGATGTTTTAATCGTGAAACTTTCATTGTTCTTCCACGCAATATCATCATCATAAACTTCAGGTAGAAATTTGTGCTGATGATGTTCAGAAGAACAATGAGCCCCAAGATCAAACCATCCAATTCAGAGAACAAAACTCGACCTAAATCATCCACCCGAGCTACAAATCTCCACCGTAAATCCATACGTAAATCACATTTCTTCATACCATAGGATGAAAATGTCGATAAGTTTTTCAAAGACAACAATTTTAATAAATAGACTTTCTGTGTGTGTGTGATGATAATTACGTAATGGGAGAGAGATACTGACAAGCTCAACGAATTCAAGATACCTGGATGTTTTAATCGTGAAACTTTCATTGTTCTTCCACGCAATATCATCATCATAAACTTCAGGTAGAAATTTGTGCTGATGATGTTCAGAAGAACAATGAGCCCCAAGATCAAACCATCCAATTCAGAGAACAAAACTCGACCTAAATCATCCACCCGAGCTACAAATCTCCACCGTAAATCCATACGTAAATCACATTTCTTCATACCATAGGATGAAAATGTCGATAAGTTTTTCAAAGACAACAATTTTAATAAATAGACTTTCTGTGTGTGTGTGATGATAATTACGTAATAGGAGAGGTAGATTCTGATTTAAGTTCAATAGTAAGCGGAAATGGTCATATTTACTTGAATCGGCAAATTCACAATGAATGCAATGAAGGATACGTATATAAACTACAAAACATTGTTGTTCATATAAAAACACTCTTACTTTAAAACACGTTGTGGTATTGGCAATTGATCAACGAATAAAGTTTCTTCTAATTCGGATAATGTTTCAGCATAAACTACTTTATTTGACATTTTAGAACTGAAATATTCATTTTTTTGTTTGTTTGAAAGGAGAGAAAAGACAGAAAAGTTGTGAACAAGATAGAGTTTATAGCTAATAGCTGGTCAAATGTAAGTAAAACTGATAATAACCAATTTCTATCAGATAAAACCAATCGACAGTTATATTCATAACATAAGATAGGATATTATTTCATTTGTCAGTGATTGAATCTTTCCGTTGTTGATGCTAAGGTTAAGCTTAAATGTATAGTCTTAAAAGCACATTATAATTTAGCCTTTGTACATACTTTTTTGTTAGTATATCAATACTAAACCGAGATCACTAGACAGTAAGTAGTTTCTTCCTAGCATAAAGCTACTCAGTGGTGTGCACCGACGACCTCACTAAGTTTCAGAACCTGGACCTAAAGATCGTGTAGTGAGTACTTAATCTTTAGACTACTTAGATGAAATCCATTGGTCTGCTTTCTAACACCGATTAATCCATAACGAAAACTAACTACAATTTAAACTAATCGTTAGAAAATCTATTTTTTTAAAAACGGTTTTGGAAAATATTACATACGTCTGAAATAATTAAGCACGTAACAGACACATGGTATATATTATCCACAAATTATAGCACGAAGTGAAAAAAATAAAACGCAAATATCGCGCTAGGGGTGTTTGTTATAATTATCACTTTGGATAAGGCATAATTTAATGGTACCTTTACGAAAGTGCAGACAATAACATAAGTGAATAACAGATAGGTAAGAAATATTAATTTTATTAAAGTGCGAATTTGATCAACGCGTGCGTTTCGCAGTGTTGGGAGTCTACAAATATTCCTTGAAAACCAGTCAGTCAAAAGCAATATAGAGTTTGATACATGTATACATCGGTTCAAGTTGTCAGACCGAATCCCGGAGTGGTAGAGGTAATAACAGTATTAGTGGTACTAGAAAAAATTAGGCATCAAAAATACAAATTGAGGAAATAAAAATCAGTGGAACAAAAAAATTAATGATGAATTCCATTACTCAGAATTTAAGAGCAGACAAAAAGTGGATGCATCTGTGCCATTGCAAACGATTCTAATGATTGGTTACGATGATCACGTGGAACCCAAGTTTTACACATATTCTCCCTATTTTTGAGTTCAAGTATAGTAGTCTAAAGTTATAGAAAGCGATTACGAAGTCAGTAACAAGCATTAAGGTAGAAGATAATAATAGAACATTAATTCAGTTTTTATTAATCTTATATCTTTTAGAGTGGATAATTTAAATTTGAATTAGGTAGAGCATTGTTCGAATCAGAAATCAGATGGTCAAAACTTGAGTATCTTTACTCCTAAAGCCATGACTTTGAAAAACAGGATATGTCGTAAATATGTATGTACACCAGTAAGAGGTTATCAGTTACGTCAGTCATTTAAGGTCTAATATACGAGATTAAAACTGACGCGTACAGCTAAACCATACTAAACTAGATGGTTCACTTTTGAAACCCCTAGCTCTTACACAGAGATGGGATATCATTTTGTCTTAATTATTATTTAACGTATTTCTTATTCTTTAATTTGATCTTATATGTCAACCGCCAAGGAGTAGTAGTCAAATACAAATGCATTAACTGTATTACAAATGTATGCCGTCTCATCATAAAATTTGACTAAAAACAGTTATCCTACATTAATAAATAAACATCGAATATTTAGAGACAACAATCACATCTTATATTTGTTGTAAATTATCTCACATGTAACACATTCCAATATATATAGACAAACACATAAAAGGTAAATTTCAGGAATTTTTTTACAATTTTCCACATATAATTGCACATGTTACCGATGATTTTCAGAAAATTATTTAAAGCTATAGTGTGTTTAATAAACATTACTTTATTAGTTATATTTCAGCTTTATTATGAATTGAGCTGAAATAAATCAGTTCCAAACTAGTGTGAACAAGCGACTCGAATAGCGGGTGAACTAGGCTGGGGGTTATCCGCAATGTTTTCAATGTTCAATAGATGTGTTGTATCTAGCATTTTACGATCACTTTTCTGTTCGTTTGGCTTTTGGGTTTCGCGTATTCAAGTGTAAATTTTCATTAGGGATTTCATTCCAAACCGTAACATTTGTTTTTTTTCTTCATCCAGCATAGTGGATTGAGCCACATTGACATGTTCACTGTAGGTAGTTAAGGATAACTCCAGACATTTCAAGTGAAATCCCGAATGTGAACTACACCCTAACATGTACCATTAAACCGATCAATCAAAGGGAAAATAGCCGAAATTGCTAGATACAACACACTTATTGACCACTAAGGACAACTCCAGCCGTTAACCAGTAAACCTCAAGGCGTTATTTTAATGCAAAAAGAAAATCTAGTGATATGAAATATCTATTGATATATGTAGAGAGCAATAAACAAAAAAACATATGCCTATAAAAAGTTGATTAATGGAGTTAATATGATGTTGAATGATTGTAATTCAAATTGTGAACGATTGTGCAATGTTATGGGCTTATAAAGAAAACAATCTTTAATCGGATGAGAATTTTATTATCATATCAGTGTCTGCGAATCGATATGTAGCATGATAACTAAGTTTACAGAAACAATCAAGAATAGCATACTTTTTATCTAAAGCAAAAGTGAAAGACATGAGAGTTTATTCGGATTTTTACAAAACACCAGCATAAGTAGAATTAGAAGGGAATTTGTGGAGATTTCAGTATATTTCAAAGTTGAAATCATGAGTCAATTGAAGCTAAACCACCATGTATACATGTCCTGGAGTTCTAGTGGGAAGCAGTGACCAGTAGAGTTCAACCACGTCTGTTGTGAGATAACAACTCACTGAAGGCAATTGGTGAAGTGTCGCTCATAATTCGTGGATCAATTGAAGCTAGACATTAACACCGTTGGATGCCGGCTCAGTGGTCTATCGGTTAAGGGCTTTGGCTCGTAACTGGTAGGTCCTGGGATCGAATCTCGCGAGTGCGGGATCGTGGGTGCGCACTGCTGAGGAGTCCCATAATAGGACGAAACGGCCGTCCAGTGCTTCCAGGTTTTCGATGGTGGTCTAGCTTCAATTGACTCATGATTTCAACTTTGAAATAAGTAGAATTATTAATTTACTCCAACTAACGAAAAACACCATATGCTAACGAGTCAAAAAACAGGCTCCAGAAAGTAGTACGAGTACAGACCAGTTAACAAAATTCTTTTGTTATAAGTATAGACACAGTAGGATTTGCTTCATTACTTCATCTTTGAAAAAATAGAACTTTAATATATTTTATTTGGAATCGGGAAACTGATTTCAATTTCTTCAGTAGCAGGTGAAGTTGGGCTGGTCAGCTATAATGGTTGCATCGAATAAAAATTACAAACTTTTACTTTGAAGATTCTGTTAACAATGTAGTTAACGAGAACTCAAGTAGGAAAAAACCAGTTTATTATTTGTTGCAAAATTACAGAGTGCTTTCGTAAAATATGAAAACCTAGCATTAAGTACATTATTTGGATATATTCATTCAGCAGTCCTTTACATGCTTCATGATTCTTCCAATTCCATTGTTATTACAACTGCTCTATTGTCTCCTCACTGTTCTCTTCAATTTAATCTTCTCCAGCTTCTGCTACCAGGCATTCTACACCTGATTGGTGTTACATCGTAGTGTATCTTGATATCAGAGCTGCCTTCAATTCGTTGGACAGGACTGTCCTCTGGGATTGTCTATTGAAGAAGGGTGTGCCTGAGAAGTTTATTAACATCTTAAAGGCCCTGTATACAAACACCTCAGACAGAGTGAGGGCATACAACCACCTTTCTTCCTTGTTCCATTCAAGCAGTGAGGTTAGGCAGGGTTGCCCAATCTCACCATTCCTCTTCAACTATGCCATAAGTGACATTCTGGAAACAGCTCTGATGGATGTAAGTAATGGTGGTGTGGATCTGCTACCTGGAGAACGACTTCTCGACCTTGATTATGCGGATGATATTGTCTTACTGTGTGATAATGCTCAAGGCATGCAATCTGCACTTAATCAGTTGGCAATCAGTGTATCTAGGTAGCTACATAAGTGCTGGTGGTGGCGTGAGTGGTGAGATCGATGCACGTATAATGAAAGCTAGAGCAGCTTATGCCAATCTGGGCCATCTTTTTCGCCTTTGTGATGTTAGTCTGGCTGTAAAAGGTCGGATCTACAACGCGTCGGTGAGAGCAGTTTTGCTCTATGCTTGTGAAACCTGGCCTCTCCGAGTTGAGGATGTTAGATGACTCTCTGTGTTCGATCATCGTTGTCTCCGAATTATTGCTGACATCCAGTGGCAACACCATGTTAGTAATGCAGAGGTTCGGCATTGTGTGTTCGGGCACAGAGACGATAATTCAATTGGTGTCACCATCTTGAAACACCGACTTCGGTGGCTTGGATATGTTTCACGAATGTCGTCCCAGAGACTACCACGTCGTGCATTATTTGCCGACTCTGGGACTGGTTGGAAAAAGCGGAGAGGAGGTCAGTGTATGACATGGTGTCGTGGTATGAAAGAAAGCTGCAAAGGGCTAGCTTCTGTTGGTCCTTCACGACTCCTTGGTTGGGGTCCGAGAGATGGTGCAACACAGTGGCTAGAGACGTTATCAGATACGGCTCAGAATAGAAACCAGTTGCGATCCTGCTGTAACTTTCTTTTACTTTCTTCATAAAGAGTGGACATAACTTTCTTAACTGAGAGAGTTCTTCTGGTTGTACATTTCAGTTCCCCCCATCATTACTCTTCTCTTTTTTTCCTTCTTTTATATATACGCATCTTCCCCCTTTCTCCTTCTATTATCATTATTTTGTGTGGCGCATATGTATCCGGTGCCCTTTTGTACCAATGTGTATGTGATTAAATAAATAAACATACTACTCATTTCTGTCAACATAAGTAGGGTACACCACACAAATACTATTTGTAATATCTCATAAAATTAAGTTGTATATCTGAATTTCAAATTAAATTTTGGAGTGGACACAAGTATTAAAAATTATTTGAGTTTTCAATACAAACGTCAAGAAAATCCTATTGTACGGAGCTGAAATTTGGAGAACTTCTACCACCACGAAAAGAAGTAAAGGTATTTATAAAGTTGTCTATACAAGATACTTCAGATCTATTGGCCAGACACTATCAGCAACAACCCACTGTGACAAAAAAAAACCGGTTTCCAGACGAAGAAGAAATTAGGAAAAGACACTGGAAGTGGATAGGGAACACATTGAGAAAACCATCAAGTTGTATCATGAGGCAAGCTCGGGTTTGGATACCTGAAGGAAAAGATAAAGAAGCAAACCAAAGAACGCATTGTACCGGGAATCGAAGGTAGACATCAAAACGAAGAACAGTGCTTCGGTAAAACCTTGAGAGGAGAGACCGTAACAGAGTACCTTGGATATCCCTAGTCTGTGGCCTATGCTCCATGAGGGGTAACAGGCGTAACTAAGTAAGTATTAAGTTATTATTTCATCGTCATTTATTTACCGCTTATACTTTTTGATAAAGTTAACCGTAAACAATCGTACATTATTCTAATACAATCAATCTAAAAATCAATCACATAATACATCGACAATATTCAAAAATAATATTTACAACTATGAATATGTATAGATATATTAACTAACAAACTTATAGATAGAATATAATCCTACCTGATAAATGGTCTGAAAAGAGTCCATAAAATTTTTATACCAGTAGTAGGATGTACTATGTAAAGTGTTTTCAAATTTTTACGAAAACTGAAGAGAGAGGTAAATAAAAAAAGGCAATAATAAACTAATTTCAAATAAATTATATGGAAACTGTTAACATCAACCTGACAAAAATGTTATCAAATATAAGACGAAGGATTATTATTAACTTAATAGTTAATTAATTAGAGTATTTGATCTTCAACTATTACGTGTTGTATTTCTGAACTCATCTACGACTAATTTTCTTTAGTAACGCAGTCTTGATGTAACTGATCCCTTATGTTATCATTTTATATAATACAACATTTACATAAAGGGTACTTTCTACTACTGATAAAGTAAACATCGATGAATTAATGGGAATAATATATCACCATTCAATGTATAACTGGATAAGGAACTAAAAATACATGAAACAGAGGTCTCAACGGTATAACTTTTAAGATATGGGATTAACATTAAATTCAATGTCAAGAATTCCGGACAATACAAATGACATTAAAAACAGACAAATATCTACCCATATCCAGATGACGAGTTCCGAATGAGACGAAACGCGCGTTGTGGATTTCGCTGACGGCTAAATTCTATCTGTTCTATATTCATTGAGTAACATTTACAGCCATTATTAAGATCTATCCCAGTAATCTACCAGGTCAATAATAGCTACTCAGAGGGAGAAGTTATAAGGGATTCAGAAAGAGCCGAATAAAACAAAAAATATACAACTAATAAGGTCTTCCGTTAGTAATATGAAACATATCAAGTGTTTATAATAGTGAGATCTTTACTATATCAAGATTAAGTGATCTGAGATAGTCGGTGGCATGGTTTAAACCTTCAATCCACCGATATATCTTTAAAGACATTGATTAACTATGAATCAAGCTTAATTTTTTCCCACTTTTATGAGCTCATCGGATTACTACTACTAAGTGGTCTAAAGGTAACGAAAATCGTCGTAAACACTGAAAGCCATGGATTTGGGCTATGAAGAGAACTCAAGTGCACACTAGTGAGGAGTATCATTTCAAGATCCAATTGTTATCCAGTACTCCCTGATTCGTAAAGGTTCTATGGTTGCTATCAATCGGAGATAAAAACGAACTCCAACGTAAACTAATCTACAGAAATCTCCCAACCAAACGTAGGTATACCGAGTTATTCGCCATATTTATCCGATTTCAAATGAAAATAAGCATAATTTATAGTCCATCAAAAGTGAAAAAAATAACGATAAAATAGTGTTGGTCATTCAATAATAAAATAGTGAGCAATTTACTTGCGCCCAAATGTTCTATAAGCTTGAACAAGCCATTTAAATTTAGGTCGATTTTTGTTAGTAAGTCCGAAGTGGAAGTAAATTAGGACGTAATCAATACTGACATATTGTTCCAATGTTTTAGTAATATACCTAAAATGGTAATTATATATATATATATATATATATATATATATATATATATGAAAAATTAACATAGATTATTAGAATAAGTTCAGGTATAAACGTTTAAGTTGTTTTACATTTAAAGTTTTAAAAGGTAACAGGAATAATAATCCAATATTAGGAGTGTTAGCACATACCAGAAACAAAGCTGTACACAGACTTGTAAGTACTGAGATACTCGTGAGGTGTATGCTACTTACGTTGACAGATATAAGTAGCATGTAACACGGAAGTGGACTGTATGTGAGCAAAAGGTTGAGAAAATTGAAATAAAGAGAAGAGAGGAAGAAATTGAAATTAATATAGGTAACAACAGAAGTGAAGGAACACTGAAGCTTGTAAGAGACAATTCAAAGATTTGCAAACGATGTATTTGATTTATGATTTTCACATTTTAATAAACCATTGTGTGATTGAGCATTAAACAATAAATTGGTTTTCTCCACCTAAGTTCTCGTTCACTACACTCATATAAGCAGTTTATATCGATCAACAGTAGTTAACCGATCAAGTCTGGTAAACGAACAAAGGCAAATTACTGGTTATTTCAAAGGTTAATATGTACTGTAGTTAGGTCAGTCATATCCAGTAAAAAGCTTCATAATTATGTAAGTTGTATAGTGAATGAAGATTTGGTGGGGAAGACCAATTTATTATTTTATGCAAAGTTACACAGTGCCTTTATAAAATATGAAAATCATACATCAAATACATCATCTGTACATCTCCCTTGAGTTGTCCTTTACATATTCCATCATTCTTCCAACTCGGTCACTATTCAAATTGCTCTCCGCTTTCCTTCCTGTTCTCTTTATTTCAAACTTCTGCTGGTAAGCAACCAACTTCACATTCCTGCTACATACTACTTATATCTGTCCATAGAAGCAGCTTATACCACACCTGTCCCACTTTTGATAAGTCGCTCTTGTAGTTGTACGCTCGCCATCCCGCTTTCTTCTTTATCACCGTCTGGGACTCAATCCCTGTCGAAATGTCGAGCCCTCTGAATTTCGTAGCTTTGTCAACCTGTTTGGCCATATAAACCCGATGTTCCCCTAGCATTCGGGATGTCTAATACCTCCTCTCCATTGACAGAGATTGCTATGAAAGTTCTTTCATACAACCCTCCTCAATTTAGCTTTGAACCAGACCCTGAGTAAATGAGAATGGTATATGTAAACCCGATTTTCGAGACAGTAAAGGCGACACAGTTTTAACCCTTTACTAATAGAAAATTAGTGTTAATATTTCCCCAAAAGTCACAAGAAACGTGCTTTATTTGACAAAAGATTTTGATTAATTTTTAACCAATGTAATCCATTTTAACTGAACACAGAAATTTGTGTACTTAGCCTCCAATCATAGTCAGTGGGTATTATAGATACCACTAGCTATTAAAAACCACAAATAACTGTAATGTAGTCCAAACTCAGCATTCGATAGTTGACACTTGAGTTGAGCCACACAACGTTATTTCATAAAAAAGTTCCTTAATCTATAAAGTGCTTTATGAGAATTAACCAAGCTATTGATCTTTTTGAAAGTCATGAACTTTTCCGAACAATTATTACTCAAAAACTGAAAGAATCCACTACCTAAATCACAGTTTTGTGCTTATGGTAATCGGATTCCTGATAAGTTTATCATGTGTGACGATACAGTATTTTTTGATGAATGGAAAACCTGACTGATCAAATTCCTTATACAGAATCATTAAAGTCCGTATTGATTCATACAAGTAAAACAGTCCGCGAATGCACATACTTCCCACGCACACGCACGTAACTACGTTAATTAAAGCAATAATTTGAAAGCCGAACAAAAATTTAGTTGAAAATGGCATATATGTATCTGTCATCATATGAAAACTGCACGCTTTATTTGAGATTGTCTGCCTCAAACAGGGTAGTGGCCTATTCTGTTGAAGTATGTTAAACTATTTACTTTGAACAAATATTTAGCTTAGTATCTGATGGACAACAAAGGTATTTACAATCTTCTAGCTACAAAAATAAATAAATAATTTGGGTTCCATACAAGTTTCAGAAAAGTAAAAATCTTTAAAAACGAGGGAATTCCTAAAGATCGATCACAGGGAGTAAAAGCAGCAGTGACTTCGTGATTAAGAAATGAGGCTTCTGACGGCAAAAATGTATCTGGATCCTGTTTGAGTTTCGGAGACACAGGACATCAAGGAGACGAAATTTTAAGTCCTGGGTAATGAACTGTATTCCCTAGCTCGACAAAAGCTTAGGACATTGTTAGCAGTACGGCTTTAGAGAACCAGGAATAACATTCCCTGAACTCGAATTATTGGAATTACAAGGGTGTAGAAAATAAGATGAAGCCATAAGAGACGAAGTAATAGTAGGGAGAGAAGTATAAGGAAATGAAGAAGGGATTAGATTGTGGACAAAGTAGTCTCAAGAGTTTTTGCTAGGAAGACCTCAGGTTATCGAGCTTTCTGTTAATAAATGATATCCCTTAAGTATGAGGAAAACCTTGATAGCATTTCCCCAATTCATATTTCCATAATGATGGTTGTTACCATTTGATCACTTGTTCCTATTATTAGTTGGTAATTTAACTGTGTCTTAATTTCATGTTTTGTTGCTACATACAGAGATTTTCTACTTTGATATTGTCTTCTTAAATATCGAGCTCCTGCAAAACTATACTCCCGTCCGCATCTCACAGTAAAGTCAGCAGTACGATTTCGTCATCGGACAGCAAGTTGCAACACTTAGTTTTACCTCCCCATAACCGACTCCCATGTAATGATAGGACCGATGGTTCAAGCCAATATAGCTTGATTATTATAGGCAGGCCCGAATATAACATCAAGAGAGCAATGACGGTAACTTGCTTGCATGAAACGAGTAAGCCAATCAGCAGTAGTGCATCGATAGGTTTAGCGTCAACTAAAGAAAAAGCAGTTGGCAGATAATAATTGTAGCAAATGTATAGAATTATCCTATCAAACAGATCCTAATGCATACACAAATGTTTGACTTAACCTTTCCCAGGAAAAACTATAAATTACGGATTTGTGTGAGAAGAATGATGCTATTTCAGAGGTGTTAAATGAACAAAACGGTAAATAGTATCATTTATTTAAAAAACTTGAGTGGTTAACCAAAATTAATCTCTCCCTTTAATTTTACATCTAGACGAGTCAATTAACTGGTTAATTAATTGACTCATTCACCAGATACTTGTGTATGAGCCACACTCGAAGTGTGAAGGTTAATGATGCTAACTGGTTTCCCAAATAGCAGGTGGCGCGCGATTCGAAACTACAACTTAATGGCTGAAAGTTGAATGCTTTAATACTGAGCCATCAACATTGAGTAGCGTGGAGCTTTGACATGCTGACTCATTTAATCCCAGGTCCATCAAATAGTCATGACTTACATGAGGAGGTGTTGATGATCAATTAAATCAGTTGCTGGTAAACGACAAGCGGAGAAAACAATTATTTTACGACCGAGTTTATCATCTCCTGCACCTTGTAATACACCCAGTCGAGAAATATCTGGATAATCAGAATCAATTACATCTTGAACACTGAGCTCCTATAAGTAAAAGAAGAGTAGAAGTTTCAACATGCTATGATAAAAATAATTACTTTAGAACATGGATTTTTTGGAAAAAAGTAGCTTAATCAAAATACAATAAGTATATCAAATGGACAGCATATTATCGTAAAACTAGTTGTTTAATATTTGATGATAATAACTCAATGAACTTAATCATTTAAATTTATCAGAAGTTTAAAAATTCCCTGATCAGTCAGTAACCTATACTTGAAAAATAAAAATTACAGCCGTTGTGGGATATGGTGAAACTAATCGAAACATTTATAGGCTGAAAGGAGAGATACTACTAATTTCCAGATCATATTGAAGTTGACATGTATCCTGTGTTTCATTGGTAGAATACTTACCACTGGGCGATCGGTAAGAATTTGAATGAGCTCACGATAAGTGGACGTCACACTACTTTGAAGCACCATGGAATGTGACTGTCAATTCAGTACTGGAAAATAAGTGTACAGATATGAGTGTGGTTAGTTTACCTGTTTCAATCACATTGGCACAGGAAGTCATTCAAGACATCCCTTTTTCAGTCATTCTGAGCATAATCCTTAGACAACTAATGTTATTGATTGTACATTGTGTAGTTAGTAATCCTTGAATGATCATGTTGTATGTATTAAGAATGTGTGAGTGAAAATCACTCCACGTATGCTTTCCAAAGGGCAGCAACATTTCGCGTCTCTCTGAATATACGATAAACATTCGCAACTATTCATTTTTTGTGTACCATGTTGAAGTTTTTGATAGTTTGTACTTGGACAACTTTGTTAAACCAGTACCAAACCTATTTTTAGTGTACCTGGATACTGAATATTTCACTACCGGATATTTTATCGGCAGTGGCAACGTTTAAGTTTCTGTTTATTTAAAGTTATTGAATAGCCATCTTCAGTCAGTCAATCGGTTACAACGCCGGACCAGGCAGACATATGCATTGGTCCAAGTTGCCATACCTCATCAGCACAACAAGATGGACACCAAATTCATAGAAGTAGTCACGTCAATGGTAGTAATATATAAAAGAAAGATTGTATAAGGATATATTACAGGAAGAAAGATAGATATGAAGCAATTTTAATATCAAGGTTTAAGGGAAGATAAAGAGTGTATACACCAACGCCATTGTGATCGATTCTGAGCCATGTCACCCAGAGTCTCCAACCATTGGTTACGATAGTCACGCGGACCCCAGCCAGTGATTTCAAGCTCTGATGCAGCGTTTTGGTTTGGCCGCCCCTAACTCTCTTCCAACCATCCCCTACACTAGTCAGCATAGCGCGTCATGGTATTCGGTGTTCAGGCATACGTAACACGTGGCCCAACCATCTCAGTCGATGAAGATTCATGACCTCATCCACTGATTTACCATCATTCCCTAATACCCTGAGTCTAAACTCACTATTATTTACCCGGTGATCCCAGCAGATGCGAGCAATATTTCTAAGACATCTGTGGTCAAATACTAGTAACTTCCGAGTACCTTCTACTCTTAATGGCCATGTTTCACAGCCGTAAAGTAGAACAGAGCGAACTGCTGTGCAGTATACTCGTCCCTTCATTGATAGACGGATATCTCGTCTTCGCCATAGGTGACGTAAGTTGGTAAAAGCCAAACGAGCTTTCTGAATCCGTGCAGAGATTTCGTCAGACACCAAACCATTAGGGCTGGTCAGACTTCCAAGATAAGTGAAGTTCTCGACGCGTCAGACCACTTCACTCCCTACCCTTAGTTCAGGTGTTGACGCAGGTCAGTCCTGGAGTAACAATTTACATTTAGACGGAGAAAAATGCATCCCAAACATCCTGGCATTATTACTGAGTGCTAACAGAAGATTCTGCATTTTATCAGCGTTTTAACCAAATAAGACTATGTCATCTGCGTATTCTAAGTCGATAAGTGGACCTCCTGGTAGGAGATCAATTCATAAAAATTCAGTCGACGAAAGAGTTATTTCCAGCAGTAGGTCTATAATAAAGTTAAACAAAAATGGGAATAGAAAACTGCCTGGCCGGACACCACTTGAGATTGTAAAATCATATGACAGTTCGCCATAAGCTCTCACTCGACTGGTAGTATTCGAGTAAAGAGCCTTCACGAGGTTTATGTACTTCTGAGGTACATCTTTCAATGACAGACACTTCCACACAGCCTCTCGGTCTACAGAGTCAAATGCTGCTTTAAAGTTAAGAAAAACTATCATTGTCTGACGTCGATAAGCATGCCTGTGTTCTAAAACCTGATGAATAGTGAATGTGTGGTCAATACAGCCACGACCAGGTCTGAAGCCAGCCTGATTTTCTCGTGTTTAGAGTTCACGAGTCTTAGTTAGGCGCCGGATAATTATTGAAGCTAACATTTTAGATGCTACGTTAGTCAAACTAATTCCTCTGTGGTTATCACAGGATGATTTTGACCCCTTCTTATATATTGGGACAATAAGTGATTGTGACCAGTCGGATGGGAATATATTCAACTTCCATATTTTAGATAAAATATTGGTCAACCCAATCGCTAAAATTGGACCACCATATTTAAAGACCTCTGAAGCCAATCCATCTGGGCCAGCTGCTCTTTTTCGTTTCAGATTAGCTATAGCCTTTTGAACTTCAATTACAGTCGGAAGTCCTATTTCAATGTTTCATCCAAGTTGTTTTGAAATGGTGGGTATCCGTAGAGTAGCCGAAGGCCAGCTGAACTGCTCATTAGTGTTCCAACCATCGTACTAAATGTCTGGACTGAAAGTAAACAAGAGTGACGTCTTTTTCCGAGATCGTCTCACTTAAACTAGACTTCTTAATTCCAGTTTCTTTTATTGATTTGAAAAGCTGCCTGGTGTTACCTACAGTCGCTGCCTTTTCCATCTCTTTTGCTTTCGTTGCCCACGATGGCTCCGTAGACTTTTGGTTAACCTAGATCTCATTTGTTTTCGCTCTTCATCGTGTTCGGAACCCGATGGGATGAGTTTACAAGAATCTATTTGTGCAATAGACTTAGCAGAAATCCACTGGTTTCTCGTGACCCTTTGATTCAAATCACTAATAGATGTCGCTGCTGTTTCCGTAGCTGTTCGTACATCTTTCTGTTAGTGGGATACAGATTGGATTAAAGCCTATCGCGTGCAGGATTGTGATGGGGCAGGTTGATTGGCTATTTTCTAACCAGTCAGTGCTAGTAGAGATTTGGTGAAGACCCTAGAGTATTGTGTAAAAGTTATAAGTATACTTACGTTTTTCTTATTGTGACTCCTACTTCCATCCAACCTTTTTATTTGAAATATAATTACATTCCTGTTCAACCGTGTTCTGATTTGGGGACTTGTCGAGTGAAGTGTCTGGGAATACTAAGTAATAAAAGTACCTGGGTCAGCCTCGCTTTCGAAATTGCCTGAGTGTGACTTCAGGTGTTACTGGAATTTACCTTTGACTTTCTCATCGCTGATTTCAACTCTAATGGGTCTTCTCAATGTGGCTTTTCTGCTTCCAGTGAGGCTCAAGCAAATGCGTGTTTGTATTAAAGCATGATCAGAGTCTAAACATGTACTCCAGAACGAGCGACAGTCTTTTATCGAGCCTCTCCAACGATGACTGATGGTAATATGGTCTATTTGAGTCCATCGTTGGTTTGCTGCAGGGGGTGGCCGTGTTAGACCATGTCTCTCCTTATGCTTAAAATAAGTGCTTGTTGGAAATAAACGACCATAAATTAAAAGTTTCGCTATCACCAACTTGAATTTTAAGATTTCTCTTAACTGTATGTATTATAATGAACAATGGCAGGAACGACAATGAATGCTTATCAAAAATTAATGAATTAACAGGCTTATTTTATTTAATTATTTATCATTATCTAGAAGTAACTTTAACAAACCATCTAGTTCCTATCAACTGGAAAACTAAGGTATAGACTAATAATATGCAGGTTTATTATTTAAGTTCAAATTAGAATAACTTTTGGTACACATTTGTTCTATTACCTGGATGTTTTAATCGTGAAACTTTCATTGTTCTTCCACGCAATATCATCATCATAAACTTCAGGTAGAAATTTGTGCTGATGATGTTCAGAAGAACAATGAGCCCCAAGATCAAACCATCCAATTCAGAGAACAAAACTCGACCTAAATCATCCACCCGAGCTACAAATCTCCACCGTAAATCCATACGTAAATCACATTTCTTCATACCATAGGATGAAAATGTCGATAAGTTTTTCAAAGACAACAATTTTAATAAATAGACTTTCTGTGTGTGTGTGATGATAATTACGTAATGGGAGAGAGATACTGACAAGCTCAACAAATTCAAGATAACTCTCAACAACAGGTTCCAAGCTCTACAGTATTTACTGAAAAAACAAGAAACTACTTTGGAGGACAACTGGAAAAGGATAAAAGAAGAACGAACTTCAACTTCTTGGTACTAAGAAACATCATCATAAGGAATGGATCTGTATGGCAACCCTGGACAAGATTCAAGAAAGGAAGAACAAGAAACTAGCAATTCACAACAGTCGAACACATGCAGAGGAAGTCAACGCACAAGCAGACTAAGCAGAAGCAAACAGGGAAGTGAAGAAAAGCATTAAAGCCGATAAGCAGAAATACATGGGAGAACTAGCAACGACGGCGGAAAAAGCTGCAAGAGAAGGGAATATGAGACAACTATATGATACAACTAAGAAATTAACAGGGAGATATAGGAAACCGGAAAGACCTGTCAGGGACAAAGAAGGAAAAACAATCACTGAGATTCAAGAACAGAGGAAAAGATGGGCAGAATACTTCGAGGAACTGCTGAATAGACTAGCCCCATTGAATCCACCGGACATCGAAGCAGCACACAATGACCTTCCTATAGATGTCACTCAACCAACGATCGAAGAAGTCAAGATGGCCATCAGACAAATCAACAGTGGGAAGGCGGCAGGACCTGACAATATACCAGCTGAAGCACTGAAGTCAGACATAGAAGTAAGT